TAGAGGACATTTAGATAAGGCCTTCCCTGCCCTCCCTTATCAGGGTGCTGGTCAGCTAGGCAACCCAGACATTGCTAAAACATGGCTTCCATCGCCTGCTTACCAAATTGAGACTCGAGGACACAGTTTTGGACGAAGTAGAAAACGCAGCTTTATTTCTTTTCCAGGCAAAGGAAGTCACAGTGGGTAATGCCTCTAAGACCTTGAGCTTACTGGGGAGAGAAGACAGGGGATTTTATAGTAAAAGTTCAAGAGTGCAAGGTGGGGTGTGGAGCTAGTTTCCATAGAAATCGCATACAGGGTAACAAATTATTACAAAGTTGTTCCTGTTTTTGCAGATGCAGTGGTTCCCTTCCCACTGCTGGATGTGAAGTTCACCTCTGGATTTGGTACTCTCTTATTATTCTTGTATGTAGAACAAAGGATGTAGAGGAAGTGGCTTGATGGAAAAGAGCTCTAGAGAAAAACTTGGGCAGTTGAAAGTCAGATTGTTAAATGCTTTTAGCCTTTTAAGCAGTCTGAGGCCTGGGACCTCCTGCTGTAGGCTGATACCTGCAGCTTGAACAACAGGATACAAGGAAACCACAAGGGGTCAAAAGGAGAGCACCTGGGTCAAGAGCAGGGCACTGGGATCAAGAAGAGGGCACTGAGCATGATCCCTGCACACAGCACCATGAGGGGGTTGGGCAGATCACCCAAGCCTCTCTTCTCTCCAGCCCAACCCTGGTCAACAAGAGCATGAGAAAAACCCTTTAAACCATTAGACAGTTAAGCAGTTACAAACACCATTACAGATGTCACTTGGTCACTGATGACAATAGGGTCCTGCTCAGCTACCCAGACAGGAAGACTGGGTGTCCAGGGTAGCCATGTCCTGGCATGTTCAGCCCACCCAGTAGGGGCCAAACCCTCCAGGGCTCCAGAGTCCTGGTCAAGGGCTGCGGCTGACAGTAGAGACCAGGAAACGTAGGGCAAATCTCAGGGCTCCTGGCTACTCCACAAGCCTTCAGGGCGGCCAGCAGTTCTGTAAATACTGACAGGTCAGGCCCTGGGCGAAACTGTGAAGGGGTTTTGATGCGCCTGCTGGAGTGCTCAGCCCCATCCCACCCCCTTGCTCTCCACCCCTACCCATACCTCAGCATCCTGCTCTCTCTTGCTCTCTTGCTTCCTCCCCCGCCCCCTCCCTCCCGCAAAGGTTACCAGTCTTACCAGCCCAGCCTGTACTATCCCACATTCCCTCCTTGTTCATACAGTGTGTGCATGAATGTACATCTTCAGGGAGCCGCGCATTGTACATTCAAAGTTCAGATTTCTACTCACTCCCCCCTCCTGCTTCTAGGGTGGGAGCAGGAGGAGAAAGAAGGCGGAGCTTCTGCCTGGGCTGGTGCTGTTGCCAAACAGCTACAAGCGCTCTTATGCTGGTGGATGTTTCAATAACCTCATGCTCCCTAGGGTGTCCTGCTGGGATGCTGGGAGGCCTCCCTGCTCCCTTCTCCCAGGCTGGCTGCTGTAGGCTTGCTAGCCATCTGTCCTCGCAGACTCTGCAAAAGGGGTCACTCACTTTGGAAATACCCTCATGGACAGGGTTTCTTTTTAATAATTCCAGGCACTATTTCTCTTGTAGGCCCCACATCTGGTCCCTGGACTTCTTGCACCCTCGCCCCTGTCCTGGGGGACCCAGGGACTTCTCACGCAGGGGAGGGCCATCGCACACAGAAGGTGCGATGGGAGCCGTGTTCCCTACCGCCGTGCCACGCAGCCGGCCAGTGTGAGTGTGTGTTGGGGGCGCTCCAGGTGCTTCTCCATTTCTGGGGGGCAGGTGAGCAGGTCCCCGAGTCTCTGTTGAAAGTTGACTCTCTCTAGGTGAGGGGAGCAAGTGACACTCTCAGTGACCTCCCCTTGAAAAGGGAGCTGGGACTCACAGAAAGGCAGCGGCTCTCTCCAAAGAAACCACTTTACAGATCCTCTCCTTCTTTGCAAGCAAGGTGCCTAGGGAGCGGGACCGAGGGAGATGCTCGTGTCAGAGTCATGCCTGGTGAGGGAGGTCTCACCATTCTTTTTGTCCTTCAGACAGTCTCTCCATTTTAGGACGCAGTGTGTGAGAAGTTCAGAGCCCAGACTCTGGAGCCAGATTACCAGGTTTGTGTCCTGACTCTAGCACCGTGTGAACTTGGACAGCTTTCCTTTCTGTGCCTTAGTTTTGGCATCTGGTAAAATGGGTCAGTAATGGAATCTAATAGTATCTGCCATGTTGGTTTGTTATAAGAATATATATATATATATATATATAGATATACATATATATGTACATTATTTAGAGAGATAGAATATATGTAATTGTGTATATATAGAGGTAGAATATATACATGTATATGTGTATATATATATTTGGAATATGGATACATACATATGTGTGTTTATACATATGTATAGAATTTATATACAGATGGTACTAAACTTATGACGGTTTGACTTATGATTTTTTGATTTTACAGTAGTTTAAAAGCAATACACATTCAGTAGAAACTGTAAGTCGAATTTTGAGTTTTGGTCTTTTCCCAAAGAGTGATATGTGGACCATTTCTGGTGAGGCTAGGCAGTGAACCACAGCTCCCTGTCAGCTCCGCCATCATGGAAGAAACAACGGGTACACTTACAACCATTGTGTACCCAGACAACCAGTCTATTTTTCACCTTCAGTACAGTATTCAATAAATCACATGAGCTATTCAACTTTATTATACAGTGGGTTTTATGTTAGGTGATTTTGCCCAACTGTAGACTAGTGCCAGTGTTCTAAGCATGTTTAAGATAGGCTGTGATGTTCGCTGGGTTAAGTGTATGAAATGCATGTTCAGCTTTGGATATTTTCAACTTATTATGCGTTTATCAGGGCGTAACCCGCTCGTAAGTCAAGGACGATGTCTACATCTATGGAAGAGTGTCTGACACCTAGGGAGCTATCTATATAAGTACGAGCTATTATGATTATTGCTGTTGGATACGCATGTCTCACCCACCCCTCCCTACTCTTCTTCTGCCTTCAGCTTCATGAGGTACTCCCCCCGCCCTCAGCCCCTTGAATGATAACTCATGTTAACAACTTGGGAGTATTCTAAAGAAACTCCATGCTTATTCGCATACCAACTTTGTCATATATGAAATTCTCATTTGAAATGAAAATCTATTTCTGGACCATTTTTTTTTCTGTCTAATGGATCTATTTGCTTATTTGTATGCCAATTAATATTGGTTTGTGTACAGTCAACTTTTAACTATGTTTGGATAGTTGTAAAAACAAAGCCTCACGTTTTTCTCCCAAATGTCATCTTGGTTACTTTCACCTATTTATTCTTCCAAATGAAATGTGAGATAATTTTATCCAATTTCAGAGTGAAGAAAATTATGTCAACATTTCAATTGAAATTATGTTAACTTTATATAAAAATTGGGGGGGGGATTAAGTGTTAATGATGTTAGATCTTTCCATCTGCAAAGACATACCTTCTCCTTTATTCAGAATTCATTTTATATCTTTCAAATACATTTAAGTGTTTTTTTATATAGGCACCACCCTTTCACCATTTTATTTCCATGAAATTTACACTGGTAGCTTTTGCCATCATTATAAACAGAATATTTTTTTATCATGTCTTTTTCTGTATGAAAAGCAGCATAGAAGCTATTGATTCTTTTCTGTGTATTTTTCTTACATCTAATTGCTTTGCTAAATTCCTTTCCTAGGTAAAAAAATTATGTCATCAGCAAAAGAAAATTTAATTTTTATTTACTTCATATTTGTGCCAATTGTTTTATTTTCTTGACTAATTGCATTTGCTAAAACCTCCAAGACACTATTCAAGAAAAATGACAGAGCTGGCATCCTTGTCTGGTTTCTGATGGTTTTAGTGATTTGCTGTTTAAGATGTTATTGGCTAATGAAACTGTAAACAGCCTGTAACACATTTTAATTGATTTTTATTCTTATCTTGTTTATAATTCTTTTGAAAAATGGCTGCTGAGCTTTATTAAGTGGCTTTTCAACATCTATTGATATGATCATGGACTTTCTCTTTTAATCTGTTGCTGCAGTCAATTTTATGTATAGATTTCCTGAGATTTGAACCATGCCTGCATTTCTTGAAAAAACTTTACTTGGTCATAGTGTATTTCTTTTGATGTATTGCTGTATTTTATTTGCCAATATTATATCAACATTTTTGTTTTTATATTCAGAATGAGATTAGGCTGTAAGTTTTTCCTTCTGTACTATATTAGGTTTCTGTATTAACTGTACAAAATCAATTAGAGAACTTTCATCTTTTCTATAGCTTGGAATAATGTAACTTATTGGAATTATCTGTTCTTTATGGGTTGGCTAGAACAAAGCTCTAAAGTTATTTGTTCCCATTAACTTTTTTAGAGGTAGATTTTTATTTAATTTTCCCATCTCTACCATGGTAACTGGTCTTTGCAAAGACCAGCTTTGGGAACTATTTATCCTTTCAAAAATTTTTTATTTTCTATTTAATTGCTTCTTGCTGTTTTGGATTATTTGACTATACTTTTTCTCCTTTTTATAGACAAGCACAACATCCTTTTCAGATTTATTTTTCTTTAAAAAAAAGATGGCAGTTAAATTCATAAATAACTTTTGCTATACACATACATTTTGACAGAGAGTGTACTCTTTTACATTGCTTTCTAGATTTTTGACTTCCTGTTTGATCCATAAGTGTGTTCTTAATTTTATAATGGTTAAGAATTTTTATGTCTTTCTTATCCTTACTTTTTTCTAGCTGTATTGACTTGCGACTTGATAATATAGCTTGTAAAACTTCGACTTCTTCTTTTTTTAATTTAAGGATTCTATTATGGCCAAATGAGAAAAGACACAGCTGGGCATATCTTGTTTACTTTTGCCTTTATATTTCCAAAACTGAGGTCTTGGTTTTGATTCAGTTTTCTTTTTTTCTTCCCACAACAGCTAATTCCCCTGAAGAGGGTGCACCATTGCTGAACGCACTGCAATACCAGATCAATGAGTGGAGTGGATGGAGCAAGCTCCTATTCCGCCAGTAGTTCCAAAAATCCATTTAATATATTGTCCTCGGATAGAGGACATATCAGATATTAAACTGATAAGAACAAACACCACACTTGATCTTAGCCAAAAGGCTGAGAAGTGTTTGTTTCCATTTTTAGTTGGCTAAGACTCTCAGGTACTTCTTATTGCGTAGATGGCAGCCTGAGATGTGTGGGTGAAATATACTCCAAATTCTTGCACATTCTCAAGTATATTTCTTGCACATTGACCAGAGAACAGTATCTCGGCTGAGAAGAGGGTTCTGGGGTTGCAAGTTTTCTCTTCATAGTCCACAGGTGTTAAACTACCAGATTCTATTCTCCAGGCAAAGTAAGGAATCTGCTGCCAATCTGAAACTCTTAACTTTATAAATGACTTGTCTTTACTGTCTGGCATCTTACACGATTTCTTCTCTAACCTCCTACCTCTTCTCCAAATGTTTTGCTCCAGTACTTCTTTTTCGCAGACTTTCTCCATTACTTAAGAGTGCATTTCGGTCCATTTCCCCATCAGTCTGGAAGGACAGTGCTGACCTGTCAAGGAGAGTAACTACCATGCCTTCCAGTGCTTTGACGAAACCTCAGAAGTGAGGCATTCTGGCCAAGCTTCTGCACTTTCGTATTGTTGGAGCCTTCGTTGTAGCTTTCTGTAAGTTTGTGGTGGCTGGACCAAGAAAGAAAGCATATGCAGATTTCTATAGAAATTATGATTCCATAAAAGATTTTGAGGAGACGAGGAAGGCTGGCATCTTTCAGAGTGCAAAGTGATCTTGGAATGTAAAGAATTTCTTTGGGTTGAGTTCCATGGAAATTTGTCACTTACCTGCATTCCTGAACTATGAAACTATGAACCATGCATATCTGGGTTAAGGAACAGTTTCTCCTGATAAATAATTGAATTCTGTTGGGGGGGAAAAGAGTGCATTTCAAGGTAGAGGGGCAGGTAGAGAACATCCCTGATGGGATTTCAGGGAGAGGCTTAGAGCTTCTTGTTTGACTTCAGCAGCTGAAATCTCTTTCCACAGCTGCTTGGCTAAATTGCTGTCTGACCACTGGACCCAAAGTTCAAGAGAATGGGGTGTATTTAATAAATATTTGTTGACAGACTGGCTCACTCTAAGGCTGTAGGGGCCGCTGCAGTCACCAATGGGCATTATTTTGGTTTAACAAGTTCCAAATGTTAGTATTCCCTTGGCTCATTCAGAGGAGCACTGCTGGTTCCTGACTTTAGGTAAATCAGGCCATGTTTTTAAGGAGATACTCCGAGGACAAGTCTAGATACGAATGATTTTTTAATAAACAGGCACTTAGGAAAATGCACACAGATCCTTAGAGTACAGCTCAGTGATTTATCACAATGCGAACGCACCCCTGTAACCAGCGCCCACAGTGAGGACGAGAACGTTGGCTGCTCCATGTGCCCCTTCCAATCACCGGCCCCTCCCTTCTCTCCAGAAATAGTCACTACCCGTCCCTCTCACACAGCACGTTAGTTCTGCCTGTGCTTTGGAGTTTAGGCAAAAAGAATCATGCTGTGTAAACGCCCCTGTGTCTAACTCCTTTTGCTTAACACGCACTTGAGAGATTCACGCATGTCGCTGCTCGTGGCCACAGCGTTCTTTCTGAACCCACAGCAATTGATTCCCCGCCTCGGCTGTCGGTGGACATCTGGGTTATTTCCAGTTTTTTACCATTATGAATAACGCTATGGGTACCGTAGGACATTTTCTCACTTAGCTTTGTTTTTATACCTGAGATCCCAATTACAGGAACAGGAAGAACATTGTCACACTCACTTCCAAGTCCGTGGATCTTCATTGAGGACTGAATGTTTGAATATGCCTCCTCCCCTCCAAGTCACATGTTGAAACCATAACCCCCAGTGTAACGGTATTTGGAGGTGAGGTTTTGGGGAGGTGATTTGGTTGAGATGTGGTCATGAGGGTGGAGTCCTCATGATGGAATTAGTGCCATTATCTCATTATCTGCCAGAGAGCTCTCTCTCTCCCTCTCCCTCTCCCCCAACCCCTCTCTCTCCCACATGAGGAAGCAGAAAGAAGGCAGCTGTCCTCAAACCAGGAAGAAAGTTCTCGCCAGACATGGAATCTGCCAGCACCTGGGTCCTGGATTTCCCAGCTTCTAGAACTGTGCTAAATAAATGTTTGTTGTTAAAGCCACGCAGTCTAAGGAATTTTTTAAGCAGCCCAGCTTAACTACTAAGGATTCCTTACACTGTGCTCAAAATGCAAATTGATACATTAGCCTCCCTTTTCATTTTAAGCCAGTCCCATTTATGTTCAAACCTTGTGTGGATTTCTTGTTTAAGAAATCTCTGCCTACTGATATATCAGGAAGATATTATTCAAATTAGAGTCTAGAAACTGTATTGTCCAATGCGGCTCTCGAGCCTTTGAAATATGGCTAGTGCAAATTAAGATGGATTGCAGGTATAAAATATACACTAGATTTCAAAGACAGTATGAGCGAAATAATGCAAAATCTTTCTTTAGTCATTTCTATTTTGGTTATATGTTGAAATAATACTATTTCAGACACAGAAAGTTAAATAAAATACATAATTAAAATTGATTTCATGTTTATTA